ACAGTGACATAAATCCTGAGTGTGTGTGCATCTGTGAGTGTGCACATTGGAGGCAAACAGGTGTCGACTCCATGTATTCCAATCACTGTGGCAGATTTTTCAAACCATAGTACTCAGGCCAAGCCCATCCAACCCTGGTTGAAAGCCACAAATATGGATTACTAAGGCCAATTTGAGAGAGATTTGAGCTATCTGCAGAGGCTGTGCTATAGATAGTCTCGGAAAACTCTCGTATCCCTAAAATTTTTTGCAGAAAATATCAAATTAAATGAATGCTGAAAAGTCTTAAGGGAAAAGGGGTGGCTTTGTCAGCAAGTTGTTTTAAAAATTTTCATAACTTGTGCCATTTCTTTGAACCAACATCGAACTGATAGAACATTTTTAAACTAGATTTTGATGGCCGTGTGAGTCCTAGGTCCTGATTCCGACTTCTTCAAAACCATTTCTGATCTGGACTTTGGAACCCTAAAGTGGACCTACCTCACCAAGAAAGGAAATGTAGGTGACCTAGATCTGTTTGCTTATTATTCATTAATAAGGTAATTTGCTAGTACAACGGAGCCACAGATGATTGCAGATAGCATTAGCCAGTTTGTCTGAGGCTCGTTTCTGGGTGCATTTGGACACTAGACCCAGGGTGAGTTTTGCCTGCTTTGTTTCCTAGCACCTTAACGTCAGTGTTGCACACAGCCATCCTTTCTTACCTGGTGACTCAATCCTTTCGTGACTTGTTTAGATTCTTTGCTTTTTAAAAAACATGCATTTTCCCAACTCATGGTACATTCTTAGGAGTTTTGAGATGAAAATAAGAGACAATTTAACTCAATTCAACTCAGCCCATTTTATTTTTGTTAGCAGTTTGAACAAAGAGTCCTTAGCGTAGAATCAAAACTTTTGATTAAAGAGATTTGAATTTTGGAGAGTTTAGTTTATTTTTGGCATCATGACCCTGGGAATGCAGATAATTAACTTGTTTCTATTGACTATATAGACATTCAGTTTTGTTTTTAGATGATATAACAGAACTTTATAGTTAGAATATCAGTACGTTCTGTAGAACTTTGGAAAAAACACGGCCTATCTCCAAGGCAGATACAAAAAACTACTTATGTAATTTTTGGTGTTTTTCATGTAACTAATTCTGTTGTTGTTATTGTTTTAAAATTGTGATTTATGGTGATTGTAAGGTAATACATACATGTGGTTAAAATAAACACATAAAGAAAATCAAACAGGCCGGGCATGGTGGCTCATGCCGGTAATCCCAGCACTTTGGGAGGCAGAGGTGGGTGGATCACTTGAGATTTGAGATCAGGAGTTTGAGACCAGCCTGGCCAACATGGTGAAACCCCATCTCTACCAAGAATACAAAAATTAGCCTGGTGGGGTGGCGAGTGCCTGTAATCCCAGCTATTCGGGAGGCTGAGGCAGGAGAATTCCTTGAACCCGGGTGGTGGAAGTTGCAGTAAGCCAAGATTGCACCACTGCACTCCAGCCTGGGCAACAGAGTGAGACTTCATCCCAAACAAGCAAGCAAACAAACAAACAAACACATACACAAAAAACAGTACAAGATTATCTAGTGAAAAGTCTTCTTTTCAGACCTATTCAGACCTATTCCTAAATCTGCAAGTTTCCTTCTGAAGAGACTCTCACAGTTTCTGTGGCTAAGGTTGATAAGGAGGTGAGGAATCAATCCTTTTTGCAACTCAATCTTAGTCTTTAAAGATTAAACAAAACAAAACAAATTGGGCCATAAACCTCTGCACTGTTGGAAAGGGTCACATAGCATTGGTTTCCTAAGAGTCCTCACTGGTGTTTCATGCAAAATGGATAAGATCCAAGGTTTAGAAATGATTGCACAATAAAAATTAGAATTCTCTGTTGTGGATCATTGAATAGGTGCCACTCAGGTTACAATTTAACCAAGCTAAAGAAACCAAACTATGGAAACAAATGGTAATAAGTAGAACAATCATTAGAGATTTGAAACAATTTGAGTTTAATTTATAGTTTATGGAATATTCCTTTTCCATCAATGTCATATAATTTGAATGACTGTTTAAAGTAATTGCCTTTGGTGAAATAGGATTTTTCAGAGATAGCTGTATTACCAGAGAAACTCATTTCCTAGTTTTATAAACCTAATTGTAAATGTTTATCTTTGTATTCACTGTTATCTGATTTTTTTTTTCATATAAGAAATTCCTTGTCTTCTCATGGTCAATACCCACTTGTCTTTGATATTTGAATACTAAATTCTAAAATCAATCTCCCTTTACAGTTCATTGCATTAAGCTACTATCTTAGAACATAGGATAGATATTTTCTGTGAAAAAGTTATTTATGTTCTGGATTATTTTGGGTTGTATTTGAATAGCTCAGAACCCATTATTTTATTAGTGTGATCTGAATTATTTTCTTCCAATTCATTTATCTTGACATGTTTATATTGAATTCATCTGTCTAATTTTTACATTTTTAGAGTCATTGTTAACCTCAATGGTAGTTTACAATCCACACAATAAACATTCATTTCTCTAACCAGCAAATATTCAATGAATATCCACTATAGGTCAAAGGCAGATAAGACACAGCATAGTTTCTTACAGCCTCATAGTGTTAGATCTGAGAGGCCAAACAACGTGGAAAAACAAAAACAAAAACAAACAAAAAAAACAAAACAAAACCAAAACCTTGGACAAATCAGTTTTATAAAATGTTAATACAGAAAATACATTCATAAATCTGAACATCCCCTTGATGGTGAGATATTGCAATAATAACATTGACAGAATAAGCTTTACTCTTGCATAGAAAAACAGTTGCCTGTTATCCACAGGTATTAATTATTGGACAGGAGTTCAGAATGTTTGGTCATTCACGATTTTAATTTGTGTTCTACAAACTCTAAAAGAGTTGTTTGGTCCTGGTACCAAAGGGTTTACTTTTTGGCAGCTACTGAATCAGTAGGGGTAAGATTGGTCAACTGAGAAGGCCTGGTTTGCTTAGCACTAACTTGCTGGAATTGATTACGAGGGAACATTGCCAAAATAAATTGATGTCATTAGCATTTTTATTCATAAGTAGTAGGATAAGTCCAAAGCTAGCCCTGTAACATCTTGGTCTGTTTCTGTAGCAAATATATCTACCTTCTAATGCTTGATGTGTATTTTTATGGAAAAACAAAAGTCATATAGTTCAATTATTACCTAATTACAACATTGTTTTGTTACCATAAGCAAGAGAAAGAAGCATCTTTCATCTTTTAAGTGAAGCTCTTGAATTTCTCCCCAAATCTATTCTCTTCTACTTTTTCCTTTTATCAATAAATGGTAACTGTCCCCCAATTGTTTATGCCAGAAACCTGGTTGTCATCCTTGAAAATTCCATCTCCCTCTGAAAGGTACTTCACATCCAATCAATGACCTTTCTACCTTAAAATATTTATTAAATGTATCCACTTCTCTCCATCTTCATTGTCATTTGCCTAATCCAAACCACCATTGTATCTCTCTGGATGACTGAAAACCTTACTGGCTGTTCTGTGTCCACAGTTGCCCTTTCTTCAGTCCAGTCCCCAATAACTATGAGAATGACAGTTTAAAGGAAACATCATATTATGTCATTTCTCTGCTTAAAACTCTCAGTGGCTTCTCAGTGCTCTTAAGAGAAATTCAAACATCCTTGACATGGCTCTATGTGATTGCTACTGTCATTTTGAGCTCTTGCTCTCCATGCCCCAGCCATGTCACCCTCCCTCCTCCAGTGAACCTCAAACTCTTTTCTCTTAGGGTCTTCTAACACGTTTCCTCTGCTGGCATCTGCTTTCTCCATCTCTGGGCAGGAACTTATCCATCAAGTTTTAGCTTGAATGTCACTGTGCCCTCAATCCTGATCCTGCATGCTAGATTGGATCCCCCTATTATGTTTTCCTCCAAGCACTCTATTCTCATTTTTTAATAATACTTACCAGTAATAATTATGTCATTATTTGTATAATTATTCATCCAGTGTTCATCTTTCCCATTACTATAAGCTCTGTGAGTGCAGAGACCTCACCTGTTTTTGCTCATGCTGTATTTGAAGCATCTAGCGCGTGTCCTAGCACAATAACTGCTTGGTAAATAATTGTTGAAAGCAAATGAGGGCAGCTACTCACTAAAACACAGAATGATTCAGTTTTACTGTGTGAGATCTTGGGTATTAAAATATTTTTAATTAATTCAGAACCTGTAAAATAATCAGTTATCTTTACTGAGCATTGACACCATATACTATGGTTTAGGAAGTTTTTCCCTTTCTCTCTCTTTTAAGACAGTCACAGAGTCTATATATCTTCTCTGGCCTTTCACTGGAAGGTTTTTTGAATCTCTGTAAGAAGAGAACGTTTAACATGCACCCACTTTCCTTTTGCTACAGGGCTGGCCCGCATGTTTTACTCTGCTATTCTTAAACTCTACTGGGTAGCTTTTCGTGAATGCCCCCAGTTCCTGATGCCGCCTGTCTTTGACTCCACCAAGATGGTTGTGCAGTTCTAGTTATTGCTTCTGTGTCTTGGTTCTCAGATATAAGTCTACTTCCCACTTGTCAATGATGTTGCTACTGCCACAGCTCATGATTTCCATTGAGCAGTCTTTGCTTATTCCCATTGTCACAACATTTCACTATTTAGAAAATTATTTCTGTTGGAAAACCGGGAAATCTTGTTATTTTTCTTCTATACTTTGGACACCACTGTGACATTTTTTCCTAATTTTTATCCCTAAGCCAGTTCTCTGTCCGTAGGACAGACTCTAAGGAGGCCTCATTTTCTCTACCCCATGGCCTTCACACTTTCCTTTTCCCTTGAGTGTGTGTGTATGTGACCTGTGACTTGCTTTTAACCAATAAAATACAGAAAGGTGATAGGATATACTTGGTTACATATATGTTATTGTGTTAATTAAGACTGTAACATCCTTCTTGCTGAGACGCTTTCTCTCTTGCTGCCTTTAAAGAAGCAAGCTGCTGTGTTGTGAGATTCCCTGTGGAGAGGACATGTAACAAGGAAACTGAGGGCAGCCTCCAGCCAACATCTAGTAAAGAACTGAGACTCTTAGTCTGTCATCCTAAAAAGAACTGAATACTACCAATATTCATGTGAGTATGGAAGTGGATCTTCCCCTAGTCAAACTCAGATGACAATCCAGCCCTGGCCAACATCTTGATTTTAGTCTTGCAGAGACTACAGCTAAGCTGTACTTGAATGCTTGACTCACAGAAACTGAGATAATAATGTGTGTTGTTTTAAGTCACTAAGTTTATAGTAATATTGTTATGCAGCAAAAGATAACTAATACATCTATTCTTTTTTTATTATACTTTAAGTTCTGGGGTACATGTACAGAATGTGCAGTTTTCTTACATAGTTATACACGTGCCATAGTGGTTTGCTGCACCCATCAACCCATCACCTACTATCCCTCCCCTACCTCCCCACCCCCAAACAGGGGGTGATGTTCCTCTCCCTGTGTCCATGTGTTCTCATTGTTCAATTCCCACTTATGAGTGAGAACATGCAGTGTTTGGTTTTCTATTCTTGTGTTAGTTTGCTGAGAATGATGGTTTCCAGCTTCATCCATGTCCCTGCAAAGGACATGAACTCATCCTTTTTTTATGGCTGCATAGTATTCCATGGTATATATGTGCCACATTTGCTTTATCCAGTCTATCATTGATGGACATTTGGGTTGGTTCCAAGTTATCTATTCTTAACTGAAGTGCTTTTATCTCACACTCTTTTCCCACCCATTTATGGATAAGAAAACTTTCAGCACAAAACTTGGTCAAAACTTTGTGAAAAAGTAAATATTATGGCATCCTCTTCTTACATGTAATTATTTACCTACAAAAAAAATCTAATCAAGTATGATTTTTGTCTTAAGAATCCTTATGATTATCCCGTCTACCTCCAGGGGTCATATGTATGTACACATTCAGAAGTAAGACCTTTAATAATTGATTTCATCAGTTCCTGGCTAGGGAAATATGGCTACAACCACTTCTTCCTTGATAAAACCTCTCTCATGAACAGGACATCTCCCATTCTAGCACAGGGTAATCTAACACAATATCGTCTGTTAATAATCTAATAGCTAAAGATATTTCTCTAAAAAAGGTTGTCTTGTTTTTACAAATTTTCTAAAAGTTACATTTAAAAAGTAACAAAAGCCAGATGAGATGGATTTTAGTAGTATATTTTATTTAATGGAAGATACCTAAAATAATTTCAGCATGTAATCAATGTAATAAAATTAATGAGACATTTTTTCTCTTTTCCCCCTAGGTCTTCAAAATCCTATTTTTTTTTTACACTTAGAGCACACTTTGATTTAGATTAGCCATGTCTTACATGGCTCAGTAACCATATGTGGGTTATTCACTAGTGTAGTGGACAGCACAGCTTTAGATAGTTACATGAGCATGTTAAACGACAGACATAAAATAATCCACAAAAAAATCTGCTTGAGGCAGCTGATTGAAAATGCATATCACAAATACATGTGTAAATAGAAGATCTGAGTACCTAGGCAGATGTGGATCAAAGAAGGAAGCTCTATTAGGGTTCTCCAGAGAAATAGAACAAATAGTATACATATAGATGTACAGAAAAAAATTTATTATGAGGGATTGACTCATGAAAGCTGAGAAGTCCCATAATCTGCTATCTGCAAACTGGAGGTCCAGGAAAGCTGGTGGTGCTCTATCTCAGCCCAAAGATCTGAAAACCAGGGAAGCCAATGGTACAAGTCTCAGTCGGAGCCCAAAGGCCCAGTGTCTAAGGACAGGAGAAGATGGATGTCCCAGCTAAAGAAGAGAGTGAGTTTGTTCTACTTCTGCTTTTCTTTAAATTTTTATTATTTTTTTAATTTTTATTTAATTTTTATTTTTTTCTAGAGACAGGTTATCACTCTGTCACTGAGGTTGAAGTGCAGTGTTGTGATCATAGCTCACTGCAATCTTGAACTCCTGATCTCTAGCAATCCTCCTGCCTCAGCCACCCAAGTAGCTAATTTTTTGACAAGGGTGTCTTTATATTGCTCATACTAGTCTTGAACTCTGGCCTCAAGCAATCCTCCTGCCTTGGCCTCCCATTGGGATTATAAGTGAGCATGAACCACTGGGCCCAGCCTAATACCTCTGCCTTTTTGTTCTATCTGGGCCCTCAATGGATTGGATGATACCTGCTCACAACAGTGAGTGTGAATCTTTCTTACTCAACCACTGATTCAAATGCCCTTCTTCCAGAAACCCTCACAGACACACCCAGAAATGTTTTACCAGCTATCTGGGTGTCCCTTAGTCCAGTCAGATTGACACATAAAATTAACCATCACAGAAGCCATGATAGGTGCTATGATTTAATAAAGGCACAATGAATCCTTGGCATATGCGGATTTTACATCTGTAGTACCACCTGCCCAAGAGTGACTCAAAGGATCTTGATATGTAGGTCTTGTAACCGTGCTGTGGTGTGAATTTGAAGCAGCCTACTACAGGAACAATGCCTTGGCTGATGTGTAAGTCTGTCTGACCTCCCTGTGTCTGCACATCTCTACTTATCTCATAAGTGGTAACGGTCACTAAAAGCCTGACGGAGCCACTTAATTTTTTCATTTATATTTGTGGCATCTTATGGTGGAAATCACACGCATGGCAAAATATACAGACTGCAGGCACTGAAACTGAATCATTTGCTAATGTCAGATTTTTTTTTTTTTTTTTTTTTTTGCGGGGGGACAGAGTCTCACTCTGTGGTCCAGGCTGCAGTGCAGTGCAACCTCTGCCTCCTTACTTACTGCAACCTCTGCCTCCTGGTTCAAGCGATTCTCCTGCCTCAGCCTCCTGAGTAGCTGTGAATACAGGCACATACCACCATGCCCAGCTAATTTTTATATTTTTAGTAAAGATGGAATTTCACCATGTTGGCCAGTCCGGTCTCGAACTCCTGACCTCAAGTGATCCGCCCACCTCAGCTCCCAAACTGCTGAGATTTCAGGCGTGAGCCACCACCCCCAGCCCAATGTCAGATTTTGATGGAGCAATGAGAGGCTTGTGAGAGTAGACTGGGTTCTCCTCTCTGCTTGCATTTAATTAAAAACTATGGAGTCCCTATGAAGTGTTAAGCCCCATTTATTGAAAGTTTTTATCATAGAAAACTTCAATTTTTCTTTCTTTCCCAGGTGTCAAGCTATCTTAGTAATATTTGTTAATATTGTTGTTTAATGAGCCTAATAGAAAATTCTTACTCTTAATTTAACAAATTATTCCTTTCAGAAAATTTACATGTTAAGGTTCCGTGAAGGAGAAATGAAAGATCTTTACCTGAGGATATGTAAGTACTCTTCCGTCAGATACAACTGATTCTCAGTCAGAGGGCTAGAGTGTGTCTGAAGGATTATCCGGACTCCATCTCTTTCTCCTTGATGGAGAAGAACTATGTTATGAATATGCATTAAATTTTGGTGGTAAGCATGCAAATATGTTTTAAATATTTCATAATTTAAAACAATCATTGGACTGGACGCAGTGGTTCACGCTTGTAATCCCAGCAATTTGGGAGGCTGAGGTGGGTGGGTTACTTGAGCTCAGGAGTTTCAGACCAGCCTGTGTGATGTGGCAAAACCCCATCTCTACAAAAAATACAAAAACGTAGTTGGATGTGATGATGTGCGCCTGTAGTCCCAGACACTCTGGAGGCTGAGGTGAGAGGATTGCTTGGGCCCAGGAGGTGGAGGTTACAGTGAGCCGAGATTGAGTCACTGCATCCCAGCCTGGGCAACAGAGTGAGACCCCATCTCAAAAAAAAATTTTTTTTTTTTTAAGGAAAGAAAGATCATACAACTTGTTCTCTGATCTCTTTCCATTAATAAAGGAATTCTCAATCTTGGTACTACAGCCATTTTTTGCTGGGTAATTCTTTGTTGTTGAGGGCTGTCCTACGTATTGTAGGATCTCTGCCTCTGTCCACTAGATGCCAATATCTTAAAGTTGTTCTCTCATTTCTATTCCCACAGTCATTATTTATTTTGGGCCCTCAACACCTCTCATCAAGACTCCACATCAGTCCATGGAATAGCCTGTGCATTCAATCTCTCACCTTGGTAATATACCCTTCACATTGCCATAAAAAGAGTGATACCTATAATTTATTTAGCATCTACTGTGTGCCATTTGAGCACTGATTACTTTCATTTGTCAGCTCTAGTCTGATCTGATGAAATTAAGAAACAGAAAAGTTAAGTGACTTGCCCCAAATGACACTGCTAGTGAGTATAAGAAAAGATTAAAATTTAGGTATGCTTAATTTCAAAGTCCGTGATCTTAATGTCATCATACTGCCTAAAACACGACATTGCCCTGAAACATAACTGGAAGTTGTTTCTTCCTTTTCACAAACTTTCAGTGTCTTCCCAGTACATGCCTCACTCTTCAAGGCAATATGATTCATCCATTCTTTTCTGGCATCCTTTCCCATAAATATTTCCATGCACACTGCATTCTTTTTCTTTTTCTTCTTCTTCTTCTTTTTTTTTTTTTTTTTTTTTGGAGATGAAGTCTCACTTTTGTCCCCCAGGCTGGAGTGCAGTGGCATGATTTTGGTCACTGCAATCTCCGCCTCCTGGGTTCTAGTGATTCTCCTGCCTCAGCCTCCTGAGTAGCTGGGATTACAGGCGCCTGCCACCACACTGGGCTAATTTTTGTATTTTTAGTACAGCCAGGGTTTCACCATGTTGGCCAGGCTGGTCTCGGACTCCTGACCTCAGGTCATTCGCCTGCCTCGCACTCTCAAAGTGCTGGGATTACAGGCGTGAGCCACCGCGCCCAGCTGCACACTGCATTCTTATCTCACTGGGCAGCGACCAGCTTCCCAAACTTGCTGCAATGCTTAAATCTCCCCAAAATTCATATATAAAAATCCTAACTAGGTGACGGTATTAGGAGGTAGGGCTTTTGGGGGGATGATTAGGTAATGAAGGTAGAACCCTCATGATTGGGATTAGTGCCCTTAAAGAAAAGACCCCACAGAGCTAGCCACCCTTTTCACCATGTGAGGACACAGTGAAAGGTGTCTTCTGTGAAA